TAAGGAAGATGAAGTGGCAGAAAGGGGAGATAAAATCAGAAGTGAAACAAGTTGGGTTGGCTAAGCACGCGCAGGCCATCAGAAATATGGGGGCTTATATATGCCAGCATCTGAGGCATTTTTCCTCAAAAGCATATGGAGATAAGATGTAGTAGGAAACAGTACATGTATGGAACATGTTGCATGAAGTTCCAATGCTACAATGCTAACTCAACCTGCCTCAAATCATTTCTAAATAATGTTGTTCTTAAAGGATCAACACAGTCAAATCATTTCTTCTTTATGCGCTGTGTCACATTTGAAAAAATGCCGCCCCGCTCCCACTCCTGCGACCACCAGCCCCCACCGACGGTGGCCACCCCGGCACCGCCAACCACCCTCCTCCCCAACCAACCCCAGCTCCCCCTGTCGCAGGCCCTCCCTGCCGCGGTGACACTGCCATGGGGCTTCCTGGAAAATTGAGGGATTATGTTTTATGTGTGAACATAAGAGCTATCGACACACTAAATTAGGTGACATAATTTTGAACTGCGAACATCATTGTGGCATATCTCTACTATTAAAGGGGAGTTTGTTGCTTTCGCTTCCATCACTTCCACCCCTCCCACCGATTTTTTTTTCAAACCACGCGATAACCCGCATTATTTTTTTATCCAAACCAACTCCCACCTCCTCGTTTCCAGGGAAAGAAATCCCGTAGTTGTACGTACACAATGTCAATCACATCATATCTTTCCTTACCTTTGTCTATGGATTCCCTTCCCACAATATATATCATTCTCAACCCAATCAAAATTTTCCTACGTTGAACCACTAGAATAAAGTTGCCCCCGTTGCAACGCATGGGGTTTGAGCTTGTAATTAAACAAAACTAACTTTCAAGGATAATACTGAAAAGTGAACATTGGCAATTTCACGGTTTATATTATTCTTCCTGATGTGACAGAAAGAGCGTAGTATAGATGCTACTGGCTTTACTAAAAATGGGCATCTAAATCACTAGAATATTCATCAACGGAGACCCCACGTACAGCAGGCATCAGTATGCAACTTATTCAGTAGTGGGATTGCATGATACTAGAAAGCATGGCAGGTGAAACAGCCACTCAGAGATCTGATCTGGCCATTCTTTGTAACATGTGATGTCTTTTTGGCCTTCCTGCAAAGATGTTCATCTTGGCTTGCTGTCGCTGCATCACGCATCCCTTGTGCTTTTCTTTGAGCAGACCTGAGGGTGTTCAAAATTCTGTCCAGAGAAAATGATCGTTTCTTCTCGAGTTTCATCTGATATAATGAAAGTATGGAGACAATAGAAAGTCAACTAGACGGCAATAGAGAATACCAAAACAATGAACCATCATACAGTAAATAATGCAAGCATCAATTCCATTATGAGCACATACAGATATAAATATACTCTTAACTAATGACATGAGACAACAGTTACAGGTAGACATGCTACAGTTCATACGGGTCCCAGTTTTTTTCTTCTAAAACGAGGTAGGCCAAAAAAATATACTTGGGCAGCTGGAGATGTATGTTTTGATATGGTTCCTGCAAATAAATATAGCTGGAAAAAGACTGTCTGACAAAGAATGGCTGGAATTAAGAGCGCCCAGCCCAAGAATATGACTGATGTCCTGTCTAATGGATTGGATGCTTGCACTAAGCAGTTGTTCGTTTGGAAAATGTTCTCACATGCTTATTTTGATGGAGGAAGACGATGCCAATCCTAAGACTAGTCAGATTTTTTCTTTTTCTGTAGCTAGACTTGCTTAGTTCACTATTTGGATCCTTTGGTCCGTTGCTACTATAATATTTATGGACTAGTAAAATATTAGCAGGGGTCTTACTGCTTACATAAAAAAAAGTTAGAAATAGTCTGAAGCACATACCACTAGCTTCTGAATTGCAGCCTCAGCTTTCGCTTTTTGAAGATTCTCCCAAGCAGTAAGTTTTGCTTCTTCTCTCTCAACCCTTTTAACAATGGTAGAGTTATCAGTATTTCATGATTTCATCGAATAAATTTACTTTGCAGAGTTTTAGCAACCGTAAAAAAATTCGATATTTGCACATCATACGAGATAAGCAGGTCATGTTATGCATTTTTCCCTTTTTCAGAAGTTAAGCTACAAGTATTACTGCACGAAAGTGGTTTAAAATAGCAGAGGTATGCCTGAACAAAAAGCAGCATTTATCATAACAGTCCCTTACTTTAATGTGCATTTCGTTTCAGATGATTCCCAGGAAGAAGATTTAGAGTCCACCGTCTTTTTATTCCACTCTAACATATTTGTAGAATTCTTGTTAGAGCCTTGTGTTACATGTTTCTTGGACCATCTGGTAAGACTCACTCGCTCATCCATCTGCACATCCCTGATCTCAAGATCAGAGAAACAGCTCTCCCTCTCTTTGGCTTGTTGCATTGAGAATGAGCGAACAAATGAAGGCCTGGCACTGGGCGAAGAAGACCTACTTAGATCTGGACTAGTTTGAGTCGCGGTATCCTTCCTTGAAGTTATAGGGGTGATAATGGGGGCTGAATCTTCTACGAACTCAGCCTCTTCATCTGATATGAAACCAAACAAAGAAGCATCAGCTGAAGATTTACTTAATTTTCATTAAGTACAGTAAAAACGTAAGATCAATTTCTGGTGTTATTCAGCTTAGAAGTGCTATGATAAAATCAATTACCAAGATACCAAATGCCAAAAACTAATGTTTGTAGTGCAACTCATGAGGAGTTTCACAATTTAACAATGCTTTAGCAACCAGAGAGACAACCGCAAACCCCAAACAGAGTATTATCCTCTACACGTTTATACTTTGTAGACCCATAATTCCACACTAAGCAATAGGCTAAATATGATGGGTAGCAATTTCTTAATACCTTGTACAGATTCTTGGGTGCTAGGCAATGACGCAGATGACTCGACTGCAGTATCTAGTCGTCGGCGCACCGTGGTAGATTGGGTAGCAGGAGACCCGATATCTGCTAGAGAAGACCTGCCAACTATGCCAATACCGAATTCGGTACCAGCTGTTCCACTCGTATACCTCCCAACATTACTTTTCGCCCCACCATAATGTTCAGGTATCAGTACTCCAGCCAAGAAAGGTGAGTTTGCTGCTAAATGCCCAACTCTCCCACTGTCAAACAAAGACACGGATGAAGATACAGATGAATACTGTCCACCAAGTCTTCCAGGAGGCCCAAGAGGACCGCTTTTGGCCTTTGGCCGCCGAGCATGGGGCAATGTGGCGGTCTTCTCACGTGCATCGCCGGAGTTTGACTTGGGACTGAAGATCCACCTCTCCGCATCCTCCCATTTTGAGGGCAATGTCCTCCTGTTATTGAGAGGGAATGCCATGCTGCTGCCTGGGTACCTCCTAGTAGTATTACCTTTGGAAGGAAGGGGCACTCTCTCCGAGCTCCACCCCTTTTGGTACCCCAAGGCCGACGGCCGGTGCCGCCGCGGGTAGCTCGGCGTGCCGGGGCTAGGGAACACGCCGGAGCTTATCTGGGATGACACAAGTCCCTTGCTTACAAACCCGGCACCTCCAACCACAAAGCCCGGAGAAAACGGAGTCCCGCTGTTGAACCCGGCGCTGCCGAAGTCGAGCGAGGCTGGCCGCTGCTTCAGCCCCTTCCTACCGTGCAGGTAAGCAGCCTCTGTCCGGCACCGTCGCTGGCTCTGGCATTCTGTCGAACAGCACACAAGCATACAAGATTGGGAAACCTCACACCACCTAGTACGTCGCAAACTTCGAAATCTCGTACCTCGGATGGCAGTGGCGCCGCCCGCCGGACTCTTGGCCGGTTCTTGCCACTCTCCCTTCACCCCACACTGCGCCTCCTCCTCGTCGTCGTGCGGCTCCGTGAACGCTGCAGAGGCTTCAGGGAGCGCAAACTCGCTTAAAAGGGCTGTAAAGTGGAGCTCCAGCGGAGCAGCAAGAACGCTGGTAAGAATACAAGGTGTGAGCTGTGTGCTCACCACTGGAGGATGAAGTGGCGGCCAGCCCGTCTGTCTCCAGATCTGTGTCCATGTCGCCATCCGCGCGCACGAATCCGGCCAAAGGCTGCAGCCAACCATCAAGCACCGATTAAAAAGTTAATCTTGCAAAGCTGGAGACTGGAGAGAATCCCAGGGTGGGTGGTGCCCCCCCTCCGCTCCTTTTTCGCTTGCTAGCGAGGGCGATGCTGCAAGAATCAAGATGGCGATGATGGTGCCTATCCTCAAGCCTCGGGCCCTCCAGCTTTGTCGTTAGATCGCTAGATTCACTCACTAATCATGTCATTTCTGGGTTTTACCATCCACTTTCTGGAAAGGCTCCTGTGGTCACCTGCGACAGGCCATGGTGCTATCTGGCTAGATCGGCATGGCGCCATGCCCATGCCACCGCTCGTGGCAGTAAGAGATTCTATGTGCGAATATTAATCCAAATGAAATCGACAGAGACGCCCAAGGAAGGTGGTAGCAATGGAGGAGGGGGGCGAAGACCAACCGAGTCGCAGCCGAAGGAGCCGCTGCCGCTGCTCGTCGAGTAGCTGTCGCCCGCCTCGGCTCTTCCCCACCGACGCCGCCCCCTCCGCCGCCGCATTGCCCTCTCCGACGCCGACGCCGACGCCGACGCAACCCCCTCCTCCTCCCCCATTACGCCCCGGAGCTCCAGCTCGCAATCACCGGCGCCGCGCATTTTTGTCTCAAAAACAAGAAAGCAACAATCCCACCTGCCGCCTGCCTCGTCAGTGAGTTTGCTGTGCTCTCCCACTCAATCGGCGGTGGCCATTAAAAGTGGCGGGTATGGAAGAGTGAGAAGTCCTGGCATTTTAATAGACGTGTCAGGCGGCGAGGCGGAGTGGATTGGGACGTGGGTGTACGTCCGGCATCTCGAGGCCGCGAGGCGAGGCAACGTGAGCCGAGAGCTCAAGAACGTGCGCGGCGCTGAAATCAACTGACAGTTTTATCGACTAGTTTGCCCCCGATCGGCGCCCCCGTCCATGTCGGTGTCGTCCTTGTTGTTTCTTCTGCCCCGCGGCGCAGGGAACCTCACCTCACCAACTCCACCCACCTCACCTCTCGTGCCGTCGCCGCCCGTCTCCGTACCAGGTTTACCCCAGCATGGCTGTCTCGTGACGACTATCTAACAGTCGGTCGGTCGCTGTGAAACAATGGCAATGGCATGCATCCGACGGCGTCCAGGTCGAGGAGTAAAAGTCCAGGCGTGATGCAGGCGGGGGCGGGGTCCCGGCTGACCCCGCGCCACGGTGGCCGCAGCTGGAACGACGGCGACCTCTCTGCTGCAGGGCGCGCAGTTTCAGCGCATTGGGCTAACCATGGAGCATGTAGATCTACTGCGGTGGAACAATGGGGGTTCAGGTTGCATGGGTCCGCTGGATGGGAGCGCCGGCAGGTGGTTGAAGGCGTGGAGCACGGTAGCAGTGTACCAGCGGCTGTGGCCACGTGCCGTGCTACTGCTGTGTCGCCACGGTTCGCTGAACGTAGCACAGAGCTTGGTGGCATGTGTGCATCTTTTGGTGGCAGGAACGTTCCTAAGGTGTACCAGAGGAGAGCTCCTATGTGACGCTAATTGCGCCGAAATGTCGGCGTTTCGCACTGGCGTGCCGAAACTGGGCCGGCCCATTTGGCCATTCGCGAGATGAAAAAATGCGAGAAAAGTAATACGCAGGTATGGGATTCGAACGGACGACTTCGTGGACTGGCGCACGCTATGCTAGCCACTGCGCCAAACTAGTTTTACTGCTAAAATTGCAGCGGGAGTGTATAAGAAACAACAATGACATCGATTAGACTTAATGTTTGATAGAAAATCCAAAAATTGCAAACGCGAACATTTTTCAAAATTACGGACAAATTTTTAACAGAAAATTTCGAAAAAACGAACAAATTTATAAATTCAGAACATTTTTTAGAAAAAATGAACAAAATCTACAATTGTAAACTTTTTTCAGAACACAAACAAAATTTAAAAGTGAGAACATTTTTTTGAAAATGCGAACAAAAATTTGAAACTCCAAGAAATTTTTATACATTATTTTCTTTGGAAATTTAGAACAATTTTTAACAATGCGAACAATTTTTGAAAATGTGAACAAAATTATAAATTTCGAACATTTTTCAGAACATGAACAAAACTCCAAGAACATTTTTTGAAGCGATGAACAAATTTCGAAATTACAAACATTTTGCAAATTGAGAACAAATTTTTGAAAATGGAACAAAATTTGGAAGTTTGAACATCTTTTTGAGTTGTAAGAAAAAATGTGAAATCAGGAACATTTTTCGAAATTGTGAACAAAAAATTGGCAATGTGAACACTATTTCAAAAACATGAACAAATTTTGACAAACAAGATTTTTATTGAAAATTCTTAACAATATTTTAACTTAAAATGAAAAGAAAAAATAAAGAAAACGGAAGAACAGAAAAAGACAGTGAAGAAAACCCGAAAAAACCAGTAGAAGGAACAAAAGTTTTTTGGAAATTCCGTGAACTGGTTTTTAGTTTTGTCGCTGATGTGTGTTTATGTACGTTTCGCGTTGTAGTTGGTTACCTTGTACGAAGCAGTCGTGGTGGCTAGCGCCGCCTGTACATCTACATTTGGTGTTTGGTGCTGGGTTCGATCCCTGGC